GACTGGCCTAGGGGTATTTTAAAGGGGTTTTAAATTAAATTTTTAGTAGAAGCGGCCAAATTTAAATAGTTATTTTTAATCTTTTTAAATTTTGTATTGTATTATATCATTGTTTTAAACTGGCTGTAAGCCGCCCTGAGTCCTCCGGGAGAAGGGCGGGGTATAAATTTAATAAAATCAAAATCAAATCAAAATCAAAACAAGAAAAAAGTCAAGGAAACTATAGGTCCACTAAAGAGAGAAGGTGGCAAGGAAGTAACAGGCAGCAGGGAGAAAGCAGAGCTGCTTAACTCATTCTTTGCATCAGTCTTCACACAAAAAGAAATTATAGCCCAATATACAAAAAAAACTACTGCAAAAGGCAAACAAAAATTAAATAAGAAAGTAAGTGGAAAGAGAACACCTATCCAATGTTGATGAATATAAATCACCAGGACTCGACAGATTACATCTCAGAGTTCTGAAGGAACGGGTAAATGTTATCTCAGGACCATTGCACCATATCTTTCAAAAATCCTGGAGCACCGGGGAAGTACCTGAGGATTGGAAAAGGGCTGATGTGGTTCCCATCTTCAAGAAAGGGAAAAAATGGACCCAGGAAACATCAGTCCAACATCAATACCTGGGAAGATCCGGAAAGATAATCAAAAAAACAGATCTGCGAACAAATAGAAGCAAACAAAGTTATAACTAGTAGTCAGCACGGGTTTGTTAAAAACAGATCATGCCAAACCAATCTTATTTCATTCTTCAATAAAGTGACTAAACCAATAGACCAGCGAAATGCTGTGGATGTAGTATGCTTAGACTTCAGTAAGGCATTTGACAAAGTAGACCACAACCTGCTGCTTGGTAAGCTAGAAAAAGGTGGGACAGACAACATCACCACCAGATGGATCTGTAGCTGGCTGACAAACCGTACTCAACAAGTAGTCCTCAATGGCACTACATCCACATGGAGAGAAATAAGCAGTGAGGTACCACAAGGCTCCGTCTTAGGCCCAGTACTCTTCAATATCTTCATCAATGACTTAGATGAGGGAATAGAAGGGGAACTCATCAAATTTGCAGATGACACTAAATTGGCAGGAATAGCCAACACCCCAGAAGACAAACTCAGGATCCAAAAAGATCTTGACAAACAATGTGTCTTATCCAACAAAATGAGTTTTGATGTGGAGAAAAGCAAAGTTTTATATTTAGGCAGGAAAAATCAAAGTAAGACCACACTTGGAATACTGCAATCAATTTTGGTCACCATACTACAAAAAAGATGTTGAGATTTTGGAAAAAGTTCAGAGAAGAGCAACTAAAATGATCAAAGGCTGGAGACTAAAACATATGAAGAACGGCTGAAGGACTTGGGTTTGGCTAGTCTAAAGAAAAGAAGAAACGGGCGACATGATAGCAGTATTCCAGTATTTGAGGGGCTGCCACAAAGAAGAGGGTGTCAAATTATTCTCCAAAGCACCAGAAGGCAGGACAAGAAACAATGGTTGGAAACTGACCAGACAGAGAAACAACCGGGAATTAAGGAGAAACTTCCTAAGAGTGAGGACAATTAACCAGTGGAACAGCTTGCCACCAGAAATTGTGGGTGCTCCATCAGTGGAGGTTTTTAAGAAGAAACTAGACAATCACTTGTCTGAAATAGTATAGGTTCTCCTGCTTGAGGAGGGGGCTGGACACTAGAAGACCTCCATGGTCCCTTCCAGCTCTATTCTATTCCATTTATAACACCTCCAAGGTCCTTACTCTTACCTGCGTTTCTTTAATTTTGGAGAGAAACCAGACTGAAAGGAACCCTTCTACTCAGATTTATGAAAGGCTTGCTCTCAGACATTGCTTGGCACGGATATCTCATCTCTTAGAGGGAAGGTAGGGAGGAAGATTAGCAGAATTTTTCTTATGCTTCAAGGATATTATGATCTCCAGATATACAAGTGCTCTCACCTCTCAGACTATTGGAGAACAAAGATTATAGCTAGGTTATTGCTATGTTTGGAATCTGCCAGTCTTCTATTTTGGAACTACCTGTTCTCTTTCCTTTAACCACCAAGGCCTGCACCAGTTGCCTGCTTCAAAAAAACAGTCCTGCCCCAAGAGGCAGGTCAGTCACCAGAACTGCTGACTGGAGACACAGGCTTCTTCTGCACCCTGTGCTTGGTATCTCTATTTAGTGGCAGATTTAGTGGCTCAATACATTGGATGTTATTCTACAGCACCTCTTTTTAAAAGGCTGAGAAGTCTGGAGGGCTACTGCACTTGGAACTGACTATTCCAACCCAACCGATGGCCATTTCGGCTGGTCAGGCACATTAGAAACTACAGCCACTGGTGTAAGTCGACCATCCCAACAACACAGGCACGGTGTGGCTTCTGACTCTCATTCGCAAAGGCACGTCGACTGCGGCTGGCAGCTCCAATCTGAGCTTCTGGTTTCACACTCAGCACTTCTAAATGGCTTTTCAGTAACGGAGGCTCCGGGCCCCCAGGGCAGACGGAGCAGAGGCCGGGCCTTTGCTCACGCTCTTGGGCAAAGTTACAGACCTCTTTACTAGTCTCAGGCATTTAATGCTCCTTGGGGGAATGCCAACGGCCAGGCCCGGAGGGTCGCCTTCTCCCGCAGACGGGCCTGCCCCAGGAGGGGAGCGGAGGGCCAGGCGACCCCACCTTCGCCCCGTCCACAAAGCCGCAGCCCGCGCGGCAGCCCAAGCACCGCGGCGCGCAGAGGGCGAGGCGGGGCCTCCTTCGGTCGGAAAGGAGCCGCCCCCAAACGTCCGAGGTTCTTCGCGGCCCGGAGGAGTCGCTTCCAGAGGCAGCACCTCCGCCCCCCTCCGCGGCTCGGAAACGGCGCGGAAGATCGCGGGCCGCAGCGGCTTCTCCCGTAGAACCGCCGCCCCGGGAGCCTCGCCGCGGTCCCTTTCCGGGCGAGTGCCAAACGCTTTCGCCGGAGGGAGGCACCCGATGCGACAGAAGCCGGCCGCCGGGCTCCGGCTACCGCCGCGCGGAATCCGAGGATGAGCCCCTTGCCCCGCCGGGCCCCCGTGGCCGCGCCCTCTCACCCATCGCCGCCGCCGCCGCCGCCTCCGCCTCCGGGGCCGGCCCCGCTCGCCTGGCCGCCTCCCGCTCGGGCGCCCGCCTCGGCCCCTGCAGCGGACGTGACGCAGGAGACGTCAGGCCGCCGCCGGCCCCGTCCTCCGGATTGGTTGGGCTAGCAAGCACGTGGGCGCCCCCCGCCCCCTTCGTCCCTGGGCTTCCGGCGCTGCGGTTGGGAGGGCTCGGCCCGCAGGAGCCCGCCTTGGCTTCGGCTTCACTGCCTCTTGGCTGGTCACCGGGGAGCCTCAGGCAGCCTAAGCGACGTCCTCTGGCGGCGCCTGCGGAACCGCCCGTCAGAAGGCCTGCTAGGAAAAGAGGAAGAAGGGCCTCCTCGCCCCAAGGCGGATCCTCGGTCCCAGCGGCGTCGTTCTGAACTGACCCGGACCGTTTTGCTCGAGCGCCCCGGCCGGGGGTGGGTGGGTGTCAGTTGCTTCAAGTTCTAATTTTGTGACTGGATGGGAGAAATATTTAAAGTGTGGGAAGAGACTGGACAGCCACTTATCTGGAGTGGTATAAGATTTCCTGCTTGAGCAGGGGGTTAGACTAGACTAGAAGATCTCCAAGGTCCCTTCCAAGGCTGCTATTCTGTTAATGTGAATAAGAGAAATGTAAGTTTAGTATACCTGGATTTCAGCAAGTCTTTGATTGCATAACATTATCCTTCATAGAATGGAAAATAAGAGCTAGACTAGGATAGCTGGATTCACAGCTAAATTATAGCATCTAAAGCAGGGGTGTCAAACTGCTGGCCCGCAGGCCGGATGCGTCACACCGAAACCGGGCCCATCCCATTGCCGGCAATGGAGAAAAAGTCATGACATGTCACGTGATGTTGCGAGTTTGACACCCCTGATCTAAAGAGAGCTCATTAATGGCTCCTCTTGGAGAAAAGTATCAGGAAAAGCATTTTATGTCTGTTCTGCTATCCAACTTTTTTTTATCAATAACTTAAGGGAGTTGAAGAGACACTTAGCAAACCTTAAATACGATGGTATTTAACAAGATAAAAATCTAACCGCTAAAGTAATTGTAAATGAAGATCTTACAGAAAATTTCAATATCAAAAAAGGCACAAGACAAGGGTGTCCATTATTCCCATTGTTATTTATATTAACACTGGAGGTATTAAACAGAAACATTAGACAAGGAAATTAAAGGATTGTAAATAAAAGATGAAAAATGCAAATTACAAGCATTTGTAGACAATTTGGTCTTTATACTAGAAGAGCCCCTAGAGACAAGCCTTAAGCTTATGAAAAAGATAGAAGAATTTAGAGAAGTAGTAGGTCTGAAAATAAATAGAGAAAAGACCAAAGTAATAACTAAAAACCTTACAGAAAAACAAAAAAATAAATTATCGGAAAAAACAGGTCTCCAAATAGTCAAAAAAATTAAATACTTGGGGATGTATTTAACAGCAAGATGTGCAACAATAAAAGAAGACAACTATGTAAAATTATTAAAACAAAACTAGACTTGGAAAAATGGGAAAACTTACAACTTTCAATGCTGGGGAGAATTGCAACAATGATGATGAATATTCTACCACATATATTTTTTTTGTTTCAAACAGTACCTATAAAATTGGGAAAAAACTTCTTTGATGAACTAAACAAATTAATACTGAAATTTATTTGGCAAGAAAAAAAAAGCTAGAATTAGATTGAAAATGCTTCAAGAAGCGAAAGAAAACAGAGGATTTGGACTGCCTGGCTGGACTTTATATTATCAAGCAGCTGTATTAACATGGCTAAAAGAATGGATAACTCTTAGAGATAAAAGACTACTTATACCTAGAACGACATGACCTACAACTTGGGTGGCATGCCTTTCTATGGTATGGGAAAAATAAAATACACAGATACTTTCAATATCATTACATAAGAAATGCACTTTTGCTAGAATGGGAAAAAGTAAAAGCGAAAATGTATATGAAAATACCTGGATGGCTCTCAACAATGGAAGCGTTTGTTCACCCAAACTTAACGAACTATGAGAAAATTGTGACTTATAAAGACATTTTGAATAATGAAGGAAAATTAAAACATAGACAAGAACTAGAAGGACAGGGTATTGACCTATCATGGTGGCCATATCTGCAAATCCAAACGAAATATGAAAAAGATGTTAAAACATCTGGATTTTATAAAGAACAGGCAGAATTTGATAAGCTACTACTGACATCAGATGAAAAATTGATTAAGAAACTATAAATATGTTAAGTTTAAAGATGGAAGAGGAACAAGTTAAAGAAACAATGATAACATGGGCAAAGAATTTTGGATATAACATAGAGCTAGAAAACTGGCAAAGCCTTTGGGAAAGAAATTCTAAAATAACAAAAACAGTAGCATACAAAGAAATATTATATAAAAGGTTTTATAGATGGCATTTAACACCAGTGAGGTTAGCAAAAATGTTTAAAAATATATCAAGCAATTGTTAAAAATGTAGACAAAAACCAGGCACCATCTTTGGTGGACATGCTCTAAAGCCAAAAGATTCTGGTTAAGAATAAACACATGGTTATAGAAAATGACTAAAAATATATATAGATTTTAAGCCAGAGCTATTTTTGTTAGGCATAATTGTAGGAAATTATGAGAAAGAGTGTATATATCTAATTTTACATATATTAACTGCAGCAAGAATTGTATTTGCTCAACATTGGGAAAATGAAGATTTACCAACGGAGGAAAAGTTAATTAAAAATTTTTTAGATTGTGCAGAAATGCATAGATTGACATTGAAAATGAAAGAGAAAGAAGATTCAGTTTATTTTAGAACATGGGATACCTTTTATAAATGGCTAGAAAAATGAGGTAGAGAGAAAGGAATTTAACATGTATTATTAAGTTAAATGTTGGAACCCAGACAATATGTTGCTGATAAAATATAAAGCACTTGTGACTATAAAAAAATTAATAAAAATATATAAAAAACTAGATAAAAATCTATCTGCATCACGCTCAGGTATTGAACAGGGAGACCTGGCTTGACAGTAGACCATCTGAAACTGAATCCACAACTTTGAGTCAGCAATGTGAAACAACTTCATTCATTCAATCAATTAATTGCTGTTTTGGGATGTATTAAGAGGAGAAAGTCTAGATCATAGCAAATGTCACTCTCTAAAGCAGCACTAGTGGAATCTGCACTGGTAGGATGTGTGTGTGGACAAAATGCATTCTAAAGTTCCTTCCAACTTTATGATTTCTGGCATGAAAAACAACCAAGACTGCAGCTATTCTTCATTTACTGAAAAAAGACCTACAAGGCTCAGTTAGCTGGTCCCAAAACAGAAATTATAAAGCAGCAATGGTGGGAAGATGGGACATGATTCAAGCCTAGATTAGACATCTCCAGCACTGCACATCAGGGAACACATATGGTATATCTGTCATTTGGGGACAGCTGCATAGTTCTATTTATATTTCTGCAAATGTACCCTTCTGGCTAGGGGGCCCTCAAATAGCAAAGAACAGGAAGTTGGATCAGCCAATCAGCACTCAGGATGCACACCTCTGCACAATGTGCAGCTGGGTTTGGGGAGGTGTACGCATTGCAGCCATCTGCAACCTATGCTTATCCATCAACCCCTTTGCAGTGTAGGTATGCAGGGACACTTAGGCACATTTGCAGGCAGTTCTAAATCAAGCAGGCTTCAAATAGACTCATAGTTTGCAAGCAACAATCTACTACCAGAGGACATGCTGTGGTTTAATGGACACAATGCAACAAAGCCTAACTCAGGTTAACAAAATATAACATTCCAACAAAATCAAATTATGACCTAATAGTATTAATATTGCTATAACATACTTAATTACTATCGCCCGCTGCAATCCATTTTTGCTAGAACTAGTGTGTTGCATAAATCCAGCCTTCAAATATGCAGGAACAGGGCATGGTTTTATTGACAGAGCCTCATTATTTTTAGGCAGTTTTTTTTACAGGCCAGGGACCATAAAGGGGATTGGAAGTAATGTGAAGAACAACTGGCCCTGGAATTCTGGGCTGTTTCATTTTTGTGTGTCTGGGTTTTCTGCAGATAAAAGAGGGACATTGCTTACCATCCTTTGCTTATTTTGTAATCAGAACGAACTAATAGAAAAAACTCCAGAAAATCCAACCCATTAGGCGCAAAATTAGTTTCCATTTCTGTCTGATTAGAAATTACTGTAATCCAAAGGCATCCACCATACAGCGCTTCAACAGGGGGATCATAAGACGTCCACCTCCTCCCTGCTTCAACAGGCAGTCTGAATTTTAAAGCTTACGAGTTTATTCTTGAGGTTGGTGGGGAGAGAATATTAACAGAAAAGCCTCTGAAAATATTGTTCTTATTGGTAGACAGTGGCTTATATTCTGACAAAGGAACGTCACCCTCCGATTCCCCTTTGAACTGGTCTGGGAGCTGCTTGGTCACACCGAGCAGGGAAGCAGCCCCGGACTAACCAAGAAAACGATGCGTCTTCTCGGGCACATTTCTCCTGAAGCGAGCAGATTTCCAGCACCGGCTCTCCGCGTGCCCGACTGCCACCGGACAGGTCACTTGCCCGCTGGCTTCGGCCGAAGGAACTCGGTCCTGCCCTTGCCTCGGTCGCCGAAGGTGCGGACGCGGTGGATGAGCTGCAGCTGCTGCTCGATCGTGGCCCGGATGTCCACCTCGTCGGGGATGTGGACGTAACGGACGTTCCTGCCGGTGATGAAGAGGTCCTGCAGCCGGCAGGCGCAGCCGTGGCGGTCGGTGAAGGTGGCCTCGCCCAGGCGGACGTTCATGAAGGCGTCTACGTTGACGATGCGGCCCACGGCCACGCTCTCGTCGCGCAGCTCCACGGTGGTGACGCGGCTGTGCAGGCCCTGCAGCAGCAGCACCAGGCTGTTCTCCGCGATGGTGCGCTCTTTCACCGAGTGGCTGATCTCCATGGCGGCCCGGGGCGCGGCTCAGCCGGAAGACCCCGGGACCCGCATCCCGGCCCCGCTCTCGGCTCGGAAGGCAGGCCGACGGCGGCCCGGGTCGAGGCCCCGCCTCCAAATCCGCGATGCCATTGGCCGGCCAGTGTTCGTCCGCTCGAGCGGGAGCGATGCCATTGGCCCGGCTGCGTGGAAGGCCTGAATCCTGAACGGAGGTTCGGCCCCGGAAGAGGCGCTTCCCATCTTCCGCTCCCCTCCCCCTTCATACTCCCCGCAGAGGCGGTTTCACGGTCGTCCGGCCCGTCTCAGCCGATGGCGGGCGAGATTGTCCGCGTTGTGCATGGCGCCGTTTAATTGCTCGTGGTCTGGCTGAAATCTCCCTTCCGGGTCACGTGCAGGATGGGGCTATCCGAAGACTGAGCGGAATGGGAAGCGATGGGAAGTCTGGTCAATGATTTCTAAAGCGAGGTCATAGCCAACAAAATGCAGTTCAGCGGTGAGAAAAGGTTCTGCTGTTAGGAATAAAGGAAGACACCCCCCCCCCTCCTCAGATAGAAGAAGAAATCTGGAGGCAGGAAGAAAATTTAATCACAACAGTTTAAATCTTTCCAAAGTAGAAATAAGCCCTCCCCCCAAAAGGAATTAATTAAATCACGAGTCCTTTTTAAATTAAAACGAACACTGTCTAGCTCATTTTCAGAACCCACAGCCTCAGACGAACCCAAGTGCAAACAAACAGCTCCAAAGTATCAACTTGAACAAACGTTGAAGATAAGCTTAACCACAGGAATGCAGGACCGGCTACCGGCAATTAGGAATGACAGGATTAGAACAGAAACACAGAAAAATACATAAAATTAATGAAACACATCAGATTCTTTCCTGAGACAGGGATTAACTTTTAACCTTTTTCCTAAAGATTGGATAAAGAAACTAGCCCATCAATAGACACTGCTCCACGAATCAGGAATGACAGTTTGAAAACTCAGAAATTCAACTAATCAAAATTGATAATTTTGAAAACCCTGGAAAGGTATAAAGGCACACATTTGGAGACCACTCTTTCTAGCTAGCCAAGAAACTTTGCTGAATGTCACTCATCTTAGTTTCTTGCCATTAAAAGACTGTTTCAATTCAATTATTTCTCCAAAGTGCTGATCAAATCCCCAAGGGAGGGGCTCTTTCCACAGGAATAGAAAACCAAATGCACAGGTACAAATAGGGTGGTACCTGGCTCAACTGTGAGAGCCATTCAGGGGTCCTAGTGCAGCAGGGGTATAAGAAGGGCACTCCCCTCAGAGAAAAAAAATATTTTGGGCAGAATATTATATTTCCCCAAAGGATCTTAAAGGCAGCCCCCCCCCCAAGTCTCTCTGCCCCAAGCAGAAACCAGGTCTGTAGAAATGCAGATCTGATAATCCTTTCAGAAAGACTAGAACCAGGAAGCTTGGGGCTGATTGAGATTAGAAAGATAAAGACCCCTGAAATCTACATATCCCTCAGATTCTAAAAATATGACCTTTAGGACATAATAGGACATAATTCTGACCTTTAAGACAGAATACCAAAAGGACATGCTCAAAAGCTCAGGTTCATGTCACAGGAGCAGGAAACGACTTCAAGCACAAAAGCCCAAGAAGGTATAAAAACCCACCACTCCCAGCTACATGTGGTCAGTGTCAAAAGCCAAAGTATGCAAAGCTATCTAAGTATGAATTCACCAGACATGCCTTGATTATCTGGGGTATCAGATTTCAAATGAGGGGATAGAGATGGACCCTGCCAAAGTAAAAGTGGTGCTAGAATGGCAACCCCCACGCACCCATAAGCAGCTTTCTGGGTTTTGCCAACTTTTACTGTCAATGTATTCCCTCTTTTGCAAAGATAGCCATGCCAATCACCGATTTACTCAAAACAGGAAAAGGAGGGAAAAAACCCTGACCTTGTTAGCCTTCGCAATGGTCGTTAAGAGTGCCAGGCTCCATTCAAAAAAGTAAAGAGACTTTGCAGCTGAACCAGTCCTTAAGCACCCTCACTCTGAACAATTCATCATTCAAGCCGATGTGAGCGACATGGCCGTGCTGTTCTCTTACCACTGGCAAGAAATGCAACCACCAGTCACTCTCCTAAATTTGGAATAGAGTTTGGGAGGCTCCTCTGAGATTGGCCAATCAGATTTTGTTTGTTTTTTGTTGCAGGACCACTGATCATTTTTGGTACTGATAATTGTATGGGGGGAGGGGGGTTTAAAGAAAACAAAACACAACCATAGCCTCATTTGCCTGAAATGTCCTATGTGTAACAGCTGAAAAACAATACTTTCCTAGAACAATCAGTTTGTTATTGGGTCTAATGTAATTTTAGTTTTGGCTTAGTATATTATGTGAACTATATGATACCAAAATGAAATACAGTATACATCTAGGAGAGTCAGTCAGCTCTGGGAGAGCAGTAACTTTCTTTAATCAGATTTTGATTACAAAAACTTCCTGGAGTGAGTACTGCAATAAACAAGGTTGTCTTATTTACAGCTGCAGCTAAAAAGAATAGCTGCACTATCATTGTAAACTTAGCTTTTATGGGTAACATAAATTGTTACTTCATAGTATGTATTTTTATTTACAGAACTTACCTGGGGGATTTATGGAATTTCTTTTTAACTATAGCTAACATGAACAGAGTCATTAATAGCACAGGAACAAAACTGCTATCCAATAGAGTATCCTCTGACATGTGTGCCCACATTTCCCTAATGCCAGAGAAAAGAACTGTTAAATGGATCTCAGACAGTTCCCAAATTTCATGTGCTAACAAAAAGTGGGTAGCTTAAGAATCCATTCTGTTCTATCAGACTTAGGTCTTCTAACATCAAGCTGGGTGTCCTAGCATTCCTCTGCATTAAAGCTGCGTGGCTCTTCACAGCTGAGGGTCATAGCTTATCCATCATTGCCAACATATCACATCCTTTGCTGCTTGTCTCACTTTGCTGTTCCGACATCTCAAATTCCCCCATGATGTGATCCAGCTTCTCATTCCGTTGCTGGTCCTGTTTCAATAAATGTTGCAAGCAAGTATTTATGTAAGAATAGAGGTGTGGACAAAATACAATATTACCCTAACATAGTATGAATGAAAATCTATGGATTCAAAACATCTCATTTAAAAAGAAACAGCTCTTAAAAACTCATGATTCATCCTTAATGGATTCTTAACATTTCTCATTTTCCTTTTCACAGAAATGGATTATTTGCGTATATGCTTTTAATATTTTGTTTTTCATAATCTGTTCCAGACTTATTTTGAGCCATAGCCATTAATCTAGCATATTAAAATCTGCTTCTGGAAGTTCTAGCTACATGACTGACTTCCCTCAGTTTTTCCTCCCCCTCTTTTCTTAAAAGCCATGGAGAAGAGGAGCCTCTCAATGACTATGAGTTATAATGACTTGTTATGTTTGGGAACAATGCTATATTTCGTTCAACATCAGTCACAAGGAACAATCAGTTGGGACTGGCTTTGGTTTGCATGTGGGTCCATGGAAGTTTCTAACTATTTTGCACTGAAAAATTATTTTCAGACTAATCCACAATTTCAGTAGAGTATTTCTTATAAATGTGTGCTGTCTAAAAAAAATCTTGTTTTTGTATGTTTATTAACTGGAACAAAAACATTAAGAGGTATATGAATCTTAGATATACAAATTGAAGTTGTTCCAGTTAAAAGAAAACCTGTGTTACTCATTTTTTGAAGAAACTATAAGATGCAGCAACAAATATCTACCTGGCCTGCATGGATGTTGATAACTTGACAAGATAACTCCTCTGGACGAGTCAGGGCAGCGTGTCTTAACAGAGCAAATAAAAACTCACATAAATACAATTAATTAATTTATTGAAAGTTTGAAAGTTTCTTTTTATCACTAACTCACTTCTGGAGTATGACCTCTGATATTTCAAAGGCCAAGGGCAACTCTGGATATATGGAAGACCCACCACCATTGCTACTACCATTGAAAGCCAAGTATCATACTCTTCCTCCTCATCAGTGGTGAAAAGATTCAGACGAAAACCAGCTTCCTTGACTAGGGGCTTCTTGATCTCCAAGCCACCCATCAGCCTGGCTAATAAATTCAGTTCTTCTTTAGCAAGAGGGTTGGGAGCAGTGTTCTCCTGCATTGACAACAACATTTCTAAGAGCCATGGAAAGAAACATCTAAGTTACACAATTTGAACTACCGTGAAATGTGCCAATGATTGGTTTCCCAGTTTCTCCTATCTGGAAATCAGTAGGCTTAAAATACCACTCCCCCCCCTTGCCTTCACTTAATAATTAGCCCTGGAGTAAAGCAGAATCCATCTTAACAGTAGTTGCAATGGATATAGTCGGATCACAATAGAAGGAAAGAAAAATGAATCAAAATTAAAAAGAAGTTCTGGAAAATACTCTCTGAACAAGTAGCTTCTAGACAGAAAGTCTATTCCACTGTAGTAATCTAGGGATTTAGGATATTAATCCTGAAACAAGCAAATGAACAAAATGAAATAGGAAGCAAAACAGAACCTTGCTCTGTGTTTGTCAGGGTAAATCAAAGATACTGACCTTAGCATGAGATGCCAAGTTTTTGGCCCCCGATACATCTGTCTCTACAGGCCGGCTGATGCTGTATCTAGAGATTAATTGAATTTATGTACATAAGAGGCACATAGGAAACTTGTTGAAAGCCTCAAACTGAAACTGCAGACCATGACTTACATGTTTGTTCCCAGTCTAGTGACTCTGTCTCCATGAAGGTCAAATGAACCTTCCAGATATGGAAGAACATAATTTCCTCCACTGCTGAACTCGATCCTCTGCATTTCATCTCCTTTACTGTTAAAAAGTCTGTAACATTGTAAAGTATAAATACTGTTTCCTTTTTTCTTATACAATAGTTGGGAGAGTTTGGGGTCCGAGAAATTCATCCATAAACCCAACCTTGTAAACACTGTTATACCCCAAAAGATAATCTGCAGTATGAGGCTGGGGGTTCATATCCATTTGGACTGGT